CTGCAAAATTACACCTGATTTAACACCCACACACAGATCAACTATGGTAAAGATGGACATACCAACAGTAGCCTACATGCAGAGCTACTGGAAGCAGCGATTAGTCTGACCCCATGGAGACACGGCCAGGTGTCCGCATCAATCAATGATTATGTTGATTGGGCACACAGTGGAAACATGCACTTGCATAAAGCAGCTTGCAGTATTCATATTAAACAGGAATCGTATATGTACCCTCCAGATCAAATACAGGCCACAATAATGAAGGCTCGAGATAATCACCAATCTATGATAGTGTATGTGGGTTTGGGTTTTTTGTTTTTGTTTTTTTGTTTTTGTTTGGGTTTTATATTTTGAGATTTATTTGTTTATTTGAGAAACTATCCTGGGATGTGGCAACACTGTTAAAGTTTGTTTCTTGTTTAATCCGAGTGAGTGAGTTTTACGCCGCTTTTAGCAATATTCCAGCAATATCATGGTGGGGGACACCAGAAATGGGCTCCACACATTGTACCCATGTGGGGAATCGAAACCGGGTCTTCGTGGGAAGAGCGAACGCTTTAACCACTAGGCTACCCCACCACTCCTTATTGAATCAAAAATCACACACCAGACAGTTGTTTGATCAAAGGCACTCGCCCATGTACATTGTTTTACAAAGTATGTTTTCAAGTTGACATATTTCTTACCATTAGGGTCACCATTATTACATATTTGTAACAAGGCCATGTTTTACACTGATACTGAATGGATGCTTAAGTAGAACAAGTTGGAATACTCATAAGTAGTCTTCAGGAAAATATCTTTGATGCAGGACCAGGAATCTGCTCTCAGGAGACAAACATCAAGTCTTGTAAACATGGCAGCGCAAATACCATAACATGACGCAAGAGGTTTCCCTGCATAACAGCAATACAAAATACAGTCAAGAACGATTAGCCTTCACCTACAGAAACAACATTCCACTGGGCTTAAAAGGCAACACAGCAGTGAAAATTATGAATGAATCATTGACAATCAGTGATGACAAACAAACAGCGTAAGCACGTGGTGCCCTACACGTCGTGCCCTACACGTAGCACATGCCACTGGACTAAAACATAACCATCTCTTCGGTGTTAGACAAACAGCTAGTCTCTGAAACGAACATATTTTACAGAAAATAAAAGTTTTTAAATTAATACAATAAAATAGAGCCCAGAGACTTTCTTCATTTTCAGACTGAACCTGTGGAAATCTAGACTTGCCACATTTTCTAGACTTGCGTGGGCTTTCTTGGATATATTTGCTTCAGGGTCTGTATGACAGACTAGTTCGGTGTCTGATGCTGGGTATCAGTACCCTAGCCAAACCAGGACGGCCTATAAACAATGGAGTGCTGACCATTTAATCTTCTGAAGGACCAGAAAATCCAGTGACACAATAGCACATGTACTAAATTTGTTGAAACTAGAAAATGTAGGTCCATTTTTAAATACATCTGCTGTGTACACTTGCCGTGATTCTGTTCGAAGTACTGATGGTCAGACAGGGCTTAACATGTTATGTAAATTCATTTCTCGTGTCATGGGATTTTGCATTGAGCAGCTAAACTAATATTTAGTGATAAAGGTTCTAGGGTGCTGTGTAAGCTGATTCTGGGGAATTACCACAAATCAAGTCCCCTTATTGGGTCCTCATAACATGAAGCTTAGCACTATCTCATCACACAGGTCAAGTTCCAGAACAGAGGTCGGTTTCTGGTCTCCAATGTTTGTCATATTTCAAGTCAATTTTAAACAATTTTCAAATCAATATATTTCATTGAAGATGTGATGGGACAGCTATATTTCCTGTGTTATGAAAAATCTTGAAAAGTATTGCTATGCTATGCCAAACCAATATGTGTTATTAGATTTTTTACAACCTTTGGCGGGAAAATTTATCAATATCCTTAAAAATAAAAGTGTTTTCAAAAGAACTGATCATGTTGATAAAAACTATTTATATTTGTAGGATTTCAAAAAAATCCTGATCTGTTCAGGTTTATTTTTTCTCTCCACCTTCAATTTTCCAACTTTAATTTGGCAAATCAATGACACTTTAGTAGGAGTTCTGCGCCCTTTCCGAAAAGGGTAGATTTTATCATATACTTGTATTATGCTTTACTGTCTCAAAACAAAGGGTTTTGGTGTAACATAGTCCATACATAAATAATTATGTCTTAACATATTCTGTTAATTCACAAATTAGCAGACATATTCATTTATTATAATTACATCTTTAAAAATTGTTTGAAAACCTTCAGTGGATGAATCCAAATTGATATTCAAAACACAGCTCTGTGGAACTGTACAGAACATTGAACAATTCTCTCTGCCTGGCGATGGCCTCCTTCAACTGCTGATGGTAACTTTCCACAAATGGTAGCAGTTTTGATGAAATACAATGTTTCCGTAACATGTGGGTGTTGAACTCTTGTCAAACCACAGAAACTGATTAACCTCCGGCTCCTATTACAGTACTGAATTTCTTGGAAACTTCTGACAAAATCATAAACCTAAAAACATTCAGGAGCTTGATGGAGAACGAGGAGTTAAAAGGCAGACACAAAGAACAAGACTGCATGTTGTTATGAGAGGCAATCAGGCATGGTGAAGGTGGCACAGTTCTGGAAGAAAAAGTCCACCCGAGAAGTAACATTTTGACATAAACTTCCTCGAAATGTATTTATTACAAATCTATTACTCACGGGTTTGATGTTGGCAATTTTCATTTAACATATCTTCCTGAAAAAAGAGAGCTTAGAAGTGAAAACATACTCTCTCACCACAATCCATTGCTTCTTATCAAACCAAGGAGAATTTCTCAGCAAAACTGCTGTAAATTTCAATTTTTTCAGCAATTTCATGTAACAGCTTTAAACATCCTGTGGCAAAAAAACTCTGAGATTACCATATGTAATCTGTATCACTTTTCTCCTCAATACTCCCAAAGTGAAAAGGATCCATAAAAAAGGCACCTAACAAACCATAATGAACATTTCACAGACACGTAAATCAGTTTCATTTATTTGCCAATTTTCAGGTAAAGCAAAAGTTTCTCAGTTCACACATTCAAGTTTGCATTTTGAACTTTTTCTTTTTTTACTTCTTGAAATGCTTCATAAATATCTGACATGTTTATTTCATATTTGACAAGTTGATATTATAAATAGGCCCAACTTGCAGAGAAGATTAAAAGGTTTTAATTCAGACGCCTGAATCATCTAGAGTTGGTTTGATGACAACTAATTCAATCTCCCCTTTACCACCCCGGTCGACATCAAAGACATGTCCCCATGATATTTGTAGCTATAGAGTCAGTAGCACGGTCGCAAAACATTATGAATCATCAGTCATTACTTCAATTAGGAATAAATCAGAATTCAACCTTCAACATCATCGTCTGGCCATTTTTTAATCCATGACATTTTCAAATTGAGCACAATGCACATTGCAATTGTCAAGGATGATCTCAGCGTATCTTGTCATTTTAATTATTAAAATAGAGATCTACAGGATTACAATTGTGCAACAATTATTTCACAGCAGGTTAATAACACTCAGTGACACCCAAATCTTGTGGTGTCCTTTATCAGTTGTCAGATGCCGATCATCTTGAACTGGTTGCCCAGTAGGGCTCAGGGGTGTAATCCAATACTGGGCACACATCAGGTTTAGATGACCTCATGGTACATCAGGGACTAAAGAGTAGCCCTTGACTTTGAATTATTTTACTTGTACAAGTTTTGAACGTGATCAGAAAATATCACATAATTGAGTAAGTGAGTGAGTTAATATTTATCGTCACATCGGCAACATTTCAGCCATATCGTGACGAGAACATCACATAATTGAAAACTTCCAATGTATTGTGCCCTTCTCTTCCTAACTTGGCAGTTTTATCCATGGCTACGAAGGATCACTGATTGTTTGTCAGTATGAACCTTGTGTTCTTGACAAGAAGCATAGTACAGGCAGCGCATGTGCAGGACACAGGTAGTGCATTGCGGGCACAAGGCAAGGTATCATCTGCTAGTCGCATCCCAGTTGATTTTACCAGTAAATACCAAATATTGAAATTATGTCTAAAGTATATCTTCGGTCGGTTTATAAAAAAGTAAGCCCACGGCAGTGGGAAATTGGGGAGGGCCTACTTTTCAAACAAAACCTTAGAGTCGGTTTTGATCCTTAACATCACACCCTGCCCTCAGACACAGGGGAGCAGTAGATAGCCACATCCTGTCTACCTACTGCACTCTGCAAGGACTTTGCTAACAACGTAAGCACATTGATGTCTTATGAGCTAACTTTTAGTCATCAAGTGTGTGTTGCATCTTTTGGCTTGGGACATTTGCTCAAATATAATGAAGTGTATTTATGAAAATTGACAAAATATATTGCTGAAGAATCATCCCCATGATTACCCAATAGTTCCTGAAGAAGCAGGCTTATCCGGGGACTAAGAAACTATACCATCTCAGTTATATTATAACACAATATCAGAAGGGGCTGTAGTTGAGGCCTCGAGGTTACAGGGTTAGATAATCATACAGATGACCCGAGTTTGGTTTCCCACATGGATACAGTTTCTGGTGTCCATAGCCTATAAAAACCAAATGCACACACAAATACAAAATTGCAATAAACTTCTAAGTCAAAGTGTTATGGAGTTGCTATTGCCAAAAGTTGACTATATTCCCCACGATGACCATCAATATAATGTACATTTGTAGCTTGCTCTGGGAATATCATGGCTACAATATTTCTACCATTACTTTCAAGTTTTAATAGCTCAAACACTCATTTACAATAATGCATTAGATCCGCTCACAACACATAACCAAACTAAACACTAAACATGTTCTAAATCCTAAAGGATTCCAATCAAGGTAGGTTGATAACTGTATCTATCACTGGTGTATAAAAGCAGTTAAACCATACCTGTCTAACATATGGTTTTACAAACAGGAAGCTTACCCAATGACCTCTGTCCTCACTGTGTTGACTGTGAAGCCAAACCCACTTCACCAGTTGTTTTTTCTAAGAAAAGCTAAGCAATTCTTAACACAACAATAACATCCTACGGTCTTTGGACAAATTCCATTCTGGCTCCAATTGCAGCAAAAAGGGCAACAGTTTCCAAAGAGCCTCTACAGTCAATTGGCTTTCCACAATGGACAAGGGTCAGAACGCAAGCCACGTGTGAATGGTTAAAGTGGCAAGAAGAAGTAAGGGTCTAGCGGAGATCCCCAGCTGTGTCCAGAGAGTAATGATTGGCAGTATTTAATCGAGGCTACTGTCTGTTGTCTTTTGTCTGTAGATGTATGTGTAGATACTGGTGGCAGTTGAACTCCTGTAACACCACGCCTCCATCCAGTTCCTCCTTTAATCAACAAGCAATGCCAGACATACAGGGACAGCTCACAGGTGATTGAACATGTCCTTCTACTGAAGGTGATGACAATTGTACACATCTACAACCACCCACAAACACCACTGTTATTATCCGGCCATATAAAGTACATACACTACACACTATTCAGCTATCGACACTAGGTGTTGGAACATACAATCGAGGCAAATGTTCCACTGACTGGTGTTGCGGTCTCTGATGGTGGAGGTTTTACAGCACAATACAAATCTATAACATACATGAGCTGTAATAGTCTATCTGTTATGAAACGTGTGGATAGCCTTACAAACAGTTTCTATAACGTCACACTTGACTGGTCTTTGAATCTGCCTATCGTGTTTGAGTTGTTGTTGAATTTTAAATGCAAGTCTGGAGTGAACTCAAATTATTTACAATTATGGAATAAATGTATCATTTATTTTTGTGTATTTTTATTTCCATCTGTTATGCTGGCCATACTTTAAAGGGCATATGACTTTCTAAAGATGTAGAATACAGACCGAGTTCCAATGCATCAGTGACTTGGATATCTATGTAGTGCATAATAACAGTGTATGAAATAAGGCCCGTCCGACCTACGGAGACAGGCTCTAAGATTTCTGAGGGACGGTCTAAATTAACAGCTAGCCAGCCCGATGGTCTGGTAAAACTTGTAGATAACATGTTCCATACATCTGAGTAACTTTCTTTGGATTGTCTGGTCTGGTTCAATCCATTTTGGGCTTGTAACATTTTGAAGTGACCAGTCCTGATGTCTGGCTGGGTTTTGGGCATAATTCATACACTGCTACTTATTCAGTCCAGTAACACGGAGTTGTTATCCCTCAGAGACTACAAGACAAAAATAACCTTCTGAAACCACCATTTTATCATTGTTTATTCAAAATCAAAATGCCAGTTTGCTATATTTCCCCAACATTCGAACTAAAGCCACAAAAACATCTTCCTATTCATATAATCAATCAATCTATAGTAGAGGAAATAGAACAGAAATGTTTAATTCATCAAAATCTTTTATTTTTCATGGAAACAAACCTCTGAGTCTCCTACAATCTAACTGTTTTATTTCTATATACATTGCTTTTGTACTGACTTCAGTATTGCATCTTCTGAAGCTGTCACAAAAATGTTAATCATAGAATGCACTCTTCATCCAGCAAGCAATTATCAAACTTCACCTAAAATAGTCTTGTGCCACATAGCACTCGATAACAACTACCCCATAAATAATTACAAAGCAGTTGTTCCCGATATCAATCAAAGCCTGCAATTAGCTTTAACCAAACTGCTCCTCCCAATATACCCTGGTCACCGCTGGTCACCTCAAACAATGTCCTCCAGTTGCAAGAGCGCCCCCTGGGGAGTGGGCAGATTCATTAAAGAAAACATTTAGATGCATTCCTTTTAGGAATCATAAAATATTGACATCACTAACGTGTTGAGCAAACAATGACCAACAACACACTCGGCGCGCCACAATTAGTGAGAAACCGCTCTGACCATTCAACCAATCAAATCTCCCGTCCGGAAACCATTTTTATAAGGCACATTAACCTGATTAGTTTTATGTGTATCCCTGAGAAGCTTGCTGGAATGACAACTGTTATTGTAAGAAGACCTAAGGCTGGAAAACAGCATCTTTACACATGGTCCGTAGTCAATACTGTCAATTAACCCTGGCCCGGGTCTTTAAGACAACAATAACTCACACATGATAACAATGGTGGAGGAACAATGAAATAAGTCGTATATCACCACTAAAGCCTGTTCAGCTGATGGAGTTACAGAGAGGTATACGGCCAGGTTGGTTTTGTCTTCATTCAGGGTCGTCTCACCATTCACGACAGTATACTTCATATTAGTATTCCCTGAAGGGGTGATCAGCTGATGGAGTTACAGAGAGGTATACAGCCAGGTTGGTTTTGTCTTCATTCAGGGTCGTCTCACGACAGTATACTTCATATTAGTATTCCCTCAAGGGCGAGTGATCAGCTGATGGAGTTACAGAGAGGTATACAGCCAGGTTGGTTTTGTCTTCATTCAGGGTCGTCTGATGGAGTTATGGAGAGGTATACAGCCAGGTCTTCATTCAGGGTCGTCTCACGACAGTATACTTCATATTAGAATTCCCTCAAGGGGCGAGTGATCAGCTGATGGAGTTACAGAGAGGTATACAGCCAGGTTGGTTTTGTCTTCGTTCAGGGTCGTCTCACGACAGTATACTTCATATTAGAATTCCCTCAAGGAGCGAGTGATCAGCTGATAGAGTTAGAGAGAGGTATACAGCCAGGTTGGTTTTGTCTTCATTCAGGGTCGTCTCACGACAGTATACTTCATATTAGAATTCCCTCAAGGAGCGAGTGATCATCTGATCAGTATTATAACACATATACAAAGATTTCCTAAGTTGTATGGACCTTTGAAGGTATACTGACAATATGTGGCATGAAGAAGAACACTTTATTATGGAAAGACAACTCTTTATTGCAACTGATGCGACGGTTCGGTGTAGATCCTAACACCGTTATCAAGCAAATGAAAACGAGCAAAATTTCTGTAGTAGTCCTCTTTTAGTGAAATACATGTCATATCCACAAACGATGTGACGATATTAGCATGTCTTGTGGAAATTGCAAATTACAGTATGGGTGTTATTATGTCTTCAGACTTTGGCTCTAGCTGTAACACTGCTGCATAATTAAACACACACTCCCTAAGTGGATGAAAAAGTTTAATATAAATGATATTTTCTTACGTTCTAACAACTGTTTGGCATTCCCCAAACAACCATCTGGTCAGACTTGACTGTGTGTCATCATAGTGCAACACCATGGATAATGCTTCACAACGTCGACCACTGGACTGTCTTTCAACACTGACTTATTTACAGCCCATAGTTCTACAACCTGACTATTGCTGAGAGACATTTGATACAACAATCATGCATGGTGCAGGGGTACCGAGACACAGGATCAGCCAGACAAAGGGTTCTTCCTGTCCTCCCATCAATGAATTACGGCCATCTAGCGGCACCTGCAGTCGCCATATCAGTCACCCGGGATGACAAATGAGACGGAATGAGGACTTACATCCAATATATCCCCCTAAACTAATTCTTCTCAGTAATATAAAACACTGTCGATCATACTGAGGCAAACAAGTTCCATGCATTTCTTCTTGGCAATCTCTTTATAAGATGATTTTCTGTAAAAAAGGTAATTGAATTGTGATTTCACTTTCAAATTATTTCTGTAAATAAACATAAGAAATTTCAAAACAAATTTCACAGCATATTAGAAAATAAATAATATCCCCATTACAGTTTAAATTTATTGGAATTTTAATCGTTATTTAGGAACAGGTGCCATCATTACAATGTAATTATTTCTATATATTTTTCGAATGAATTTTCAGTAGAAAGTTTTCAGTAGAAAGTTTGCAATACAAATCACAATCACATCATATCATGACTTCGTCTATATTGTCTCACTCACTCACTCACTCACTCCATACTGCTATACCTACCATAGTTGCTTGCTCGTCACTCAGTCCATACTGTCATGCATAGTTGCTAGGTTACCAGCCATCCGGCAACGTCTTCTATCCACTCTTCCTTACCTTCCATTTTCATCATGATGCACTTTCTTACCTCCACTTTCCACTTTCTCATTATACCCTATTCTATCTCTAGACACCCCCATCCCACTTTCTCATTATACCTATTCCATCTCTAGACACCCCCAGCCCACGTTCTCATTATACCTATTCCATCTCTAGACACCCCCACCCCACGTTCTCATTATACCTATTCCATCTCTAGACACCCCACCCCCACTTTCTCTTATTATACCCTATTCTATCTCTAGACACCCCATCCCACTTTCTCATTATACCCTATTCCATCTCTAGACACCCCCCCACTTACGTTATCATTATACCCTATTCCATCTCTAGACACCCCCACCCCATTTTCTCATTATACCCTATTCCATCTCTAGACACCCCACAACACTTTCTCATTATACCCTATTCCATCTCTAGACACCCCGACCACACTTTCTCATTATACCCTATTCCATCTCTAGACACCCCCACCCCACTATCTCATTATACCCTATTCCATCTCTAGACACCCCCACCCCACTTTCTCATTATACCCTATTCTATCTCTAGACACCCCCACAACACTTTCTCATTATACCCTAGTCCATCTCTAGACACCCCCACCCCACTTTCTCATGATACCTATTGCATCTCTAGACACCCCCACCCCACACATTCAATGCTCATCACAAACTCACCCCGAAACCTCCCTATACTAAATACAACCCATGCTCAACCTGAACAACACCATTTGAAAATGTTCGAAACACAGGAAAACATTCATGACTTTAATCATTGAGAACCAGCGCTTTGAGCAAGATATTCATTCTGGAATGGCACTAGAAAAGTGTACTATTATTATAACCATGTACAACCAATGCAAAAAGTTGAATATAAATTGATATAAATCTGAATATTCGAGACTGAAACAGATGAAGAATTCAGTTACCCTGTATGTATTTTCCTAAAATTAATAAAAAATATATCATGCAGAACAAAAATCAGATCAAACGTCTTCGATTTTTTTCGACCTCCCAGTAACACAGAACAGTATTTGTTATTATCTTCAACAGGAAAAGAAGGCATGTTGATTCAAGAAAAATTGTTAAATATGTTCCCATATCTCATAGGAATCCCGACCTGAGCATCCAAAATATTCCAAAAAAGAACATTATCATCCCAAAGCTGCTTACTTTCATTTAGGCCTATTGGAAACATGACAAGATGCCGTCTCCAAATGCACTTATTCAATATAGAGAGTGTCCTTATCAGCCTTCATGCCATTTCCACTAAAAACAAAACCTGGCTTATTGTGTTTTAGAGTGGTACTACCCTACCCTGTTCCCGGAGCCATCAGATACTGTCACCATAACGAGGGAACATTCATCACATGATTAATTTTTCAAATTTATCTTGCATGGTCGGAGGCATACATTCATTATTTAGAGTCCTGAGGTTGCAAGGATTATCGTTTTAAATCAGCAAAGACAAGAATCTTTTTGTTGAACCAAACCAGCATGGGATGAAGACGTCACATAAATTTACTTCAGAGTAACACATGAACACTCCCTTTC